TAATCTGCAGAACGCCTGGAAATGGAGAAGAGAAGATTTAAACAAAGCCTTGAAGACATGGAATCCCTTCAGTTAAAAGAGGTAAGAGGGGGGTTTCTGCAGCATCCTGAGGTTAGTCTCTTTTGGTCCTGACATACAGGGGCCACTAGAGGTCATTGTTTGCTGTCAGCTGCTCTTAAACAAGTTTAAAAATTGGTGGGCTCAGACTTACTGTGGGAATAATAGGCCATTTCTACAAGCAAAGCCTAGCTGAAGAGACATTCTACCAGCTAGTAAGATTTTGTAGCTTGCAAGAGTATGGGCCAGAGTGGTACGTGATTGTACAAAAGAGGCTTGGAGGCTGGCCCTTGTGTCAGTCTCGCTATGCATAGAGGTAATTATGAATAAGCAATCTTGTCATGGTCACTGAAATAAAGGTGCATTAATGGAGGAAATCGAGACATACATGCTATATACAACCAATCCTTTAACAGGGCTCAGCTTGCTAGTTCCTTCTCTGTTATGTTTCAGGGGGATTCTGTCTGAGTGTGGACAGGACAAGAGGCTGTGATCAACTCTCTTTGGAGTGTTTATTGAGGTGTGAAATCTCTCAAAAATAAAATTATACCAATAGATTTCTCTGAAGATTTTGAAATCTTGTAAGAAAAGACATAGGCCAGGAAGATTTTAGCCACATTACAGCTAGAAAATGAATCTCTGGTGTTTTGTACCACTTGAAGATGAGAGCTCGGATTCTGTATCTTTCATCTTGGCCTGGAAGGGATCTCTGTGTAAAGTTCTCAGTTTCTAGAGGGCAGATTCTATCTATATTACAGTTTCCTAGTGGAGCTCTGAGGGAGGTAAGAGTTTTTCTTTGGTGGTAGGTGGGTCAATGATAGGATGCTTTTTCTCATGGCGAATGGCCAGAGATAAGAGTGGTTTTCTGGCACTTGCTTAAATGGTTTCTACTGCTTTGCAGGTGGATCATATGACACAGCACATTGAGGCCAGTGAACGTTCCATGCAGGACAGGATACAGAGGCTGGAAGCCATCAGGATAGCTCTGGAGGAGGTGAGAATGGATGCTCTAGGCGCGTTGGAATGCTCAGGTAGCGGTGGCAGGAGAAGGCTGCCAGGAGAGCTTTGTGGAGTCTTCCATTGCTGACCTATGTAAAGATTGTCACGTGCTGTAGGGAGGAACAGAAAACAGCAGTTTACCAGCTAAAATTAGTTTTACTGCTTTGGACTAAGGAAGGACAATGTTTCAAGGAGAAACTTGTAGATTCTGATTGAACAAAAATAAAGTTTCCATTGAACGTGGTTAGATTCTTATCAGGATTTGACTTCACAGGTTTCCCATGTGGTCCCAAGTAGCGTAGCATATTTCTCCTTATCTGTTCCCCCAGCTAGATCCAGCGCTGCCCTCTCCTACTCCCCTGTCTTTTGAAAGCTTCACCCATTACTTGCCCTCATAAAACTGAAATTCTCATTGAATTTAGATGGCAGTCTTGGGGTGAGAAAAGGTATGTAATCTGGGTTTGTTTTCCCTGCCCCTGAGTGAGAGACACAGCTGTGTCACGTTGTAGCCTGCGACTGGAAGCTGCTAATGTTTTCTGGTCAGTGTTGCAGTGACGCAGCTTCTCTATCTGGAATCTTCCATGTTTCTGTGGCAGGAGCTGAGCCAAGTCAAAGCAGCTGCACTCACTCAGCGAGGCCAGGCAGAGGAGGAGTTAATAAAAGTCCGGAATCAGGCACGGTTGGAGGAGGTAAGGACAAGACCTGTCTGTGGGCCCTGCCTCTGTGGGAAGGAGTGGATTTGACTGCCTAGCCTATGTTTTTGTCTCAGAGAACTGCTGAGTAACTCCCTGCTCTGGGTTTCACTGGCCTGCAAATAGTGTGATTTCTGAGGAAGGAGTCCTGAAAAGTCTGCTTTGAATTGTCTCCAGCATGTAACCGCTATCCCCACCTGCTCTGTGCTTTCCAGTAGTAACAGAGTTGATGTGGATATTGTCAGAGCAGATTTCATTTAAGTTGCCACCTTTTGAAGCTAACAGCCAGATGTCAATCCTTCTGTTTAACAGCAGCTTTCATGGGCTGCTCCTGTTTCTCCGGACTCAGAGGTAATTTCTGCAGGTGGCTACTGCTGCTGGATAAAAAAAGTCACTGTAGAGTTGAACTTTGTGAAAATGACCATGAAGTCAACGCCCTGTGAGAGAGAACAAGGGATGAGGAAAATACACCAAAACTATTAGAATGTTTACTTATATATAACATATCACAAAAGAAAATACTTTACTGAGTTATAAACATGTAAAAGCTGCCATGTGTGTCTGTGGTGGGACACGGCAGTTGCTTGGTTGCATACAGCAGTATTTCAGAGCCATTTGGGATATGGAGGAAGCGAAGTTAGAGCATTAGTTGTAAACACCGGCAGTGGCATTGGTGCTTCTACCAAGGACATGCCTCTGTTTCTCAGTGAGTGAGCTGGGCTTTGCAGCATCTCCATCAGAATGTTTTCCCTGGCAACAGAAAGCAGCTTAGATTCACTCCTGAATGCAAGGGAGAAGTGCCATATCTATTATGGCTAAGTCTTGTCCTTGTTCTTGAGTGCCACTTGACTCAATCAAGGGCTCACTGTGTTGGGAACAAAAAGGGGAGAATCCTTTCGCAGGAATGGAATGGGACTGATGTATTTTCATTTTCCTTTGTGTCTTACAGCAGCAACGACTAGAACACCTAGAAGAGAAGCTTCGGCTGATGACTGAGTCACGGGATGAAGCTCAGAACTGCTGCCTTAAGCAAAAACAAATGGTTGGTGAGGCCCAAGCCAAAGCCAATCAGTTGAGCCTGCATGCTGATCGACTCAGAAGGCGGCTAGAGGAACTTCAGCAGGTAATTTGGACTGGAGTAGAGATATGGTCACTACAGGGGCAGAACAAGTTGCTGAAGTTATTTGGTTATTCATGGATTTGTCTTTGTGTGTCAGGACCTGAACAGTAAAGAAGAGGAGAAAGTGACAGAGGTGAATAAAGTGAAAGTGGAATTACAGGAGCAGATTGGACACCTGCAGGCTGAACGCACAGCACAGGAAGGGCTGAGAGAGAAGATTGCAGCCCTGGAGAGACAGCTGAAAGGTGATGGATCCTTTCATGCTTCTGAAATGGTAATGCTGGGTTACCCTACAGTGGGCTTGGAACTGAGCTACGCTTATAGGTAGTGACAGCAGTGCTTCCTGCCTGTGTGTACAACCATGAATTGTACCCTCCATCCTGATGTATTTGCAGGGATTCTTGTCCTCATTTTAATAGAGACCAAGACTCTGATAATTACCCAAAGCTGCACAGCAATCAAAATGTTTGGATTTCCTGCACAGTGAAGCGTAACATCTTGTCTGTGCAAAACCTCTGACATTGTCTCATGCAGCTTCTCTCATGTGCCTGTTGATCATCCTGCTTCCATTGCCTTTGGCTGTGCCTATAATGTGTTGTTCCTGTTTATTCTAGGAACACCCTAATTTTCTTTACTAATGCTGCTCTTCTTTCACAGCCCTATCAAGTAGTCACCGTGAGGCACTGCTGGACAAAGAAGGTGAAATCTCAATGCTGCTGGAGAAGCTGAGAATGAAAGAAGCTGACATCTCCAGGATGAGGGAAGAAGAGGCCCAGCGAGCAAGTTTCTTGCAGAATGCTATCATGGCATATGTGCAGGGCTCCCCTTTGGGAACCCACAGTTCTAGGAGGTGAGAGCGTGGCTTAAAGGAAGAGAGCATGACCTGCTGTCAGGAAGAGGGTGAGCAACTCAGGTACAGCCCCGTCTTTCTAAGTGGGACAGTTTTGTCACAGTGGGGTAACACAAAGGCTTGCAAACACAGAGAATAGCTCTTGCTCTTCAGAAATCTTGCTCCCAACCACATAAAGGAGAGGAGGAAACAGCCATCCAGGGCTGAGATAGAGGCTCGTGGGTCCGAGTTCATGATGTGGAGCCCTTCCCCTGCGCTGCTACAACATTTGAAGTAGCTTCTGTGTCCTTTTATACAGCACCAGTCTGTCAGCACACCCTGTTGTTACCAGGGGGTTTGTTCCCTGGCCAGCGGTCATTCTGAAGCATTTGTTTGGATGCCAGGGCTGTTCACAGTGAAACCTAATAAATGACGGGCAGCAGTGTTTGCGGTTCCCTGTAGGTGGGAGCCATTTACTTTGCTCGTGGGGTTCCAAAGCTGCTGGAAACACTGGACCTTACCCACCTGTGCTTTTATACCCAGTGCTTACAGATGGAAGCAGCGGCTGACAGGGCTCACTTTGGCTCTTTTACCCTGCCCCTCCTGGCTCTGGCTGTAGTGATGGGCAGTAGTATGCCTTCATTATATACAGAAACAGCTCTGCAGAGGGGGACTGCCGTGCAGTGGCTATCCATATCCCTGTTGGACAGCTGGGCTTTGGACATGGTTCAAGCCTCTACAACACTGACTGGCATGGAAAGGGTGGGGTGGGGTGTCGGGGGTCAGCTTCTGTGCTTCCTCACTGTGCACTGCAGCCCTTGGCTGGAGTTCTTGTGGCCAAAATGCAGTAGGATTTCATTCCACTATGACAAATGGCAAAACTGTCCTGCTGGCTTCTCAGCGTCCTGGAGCTGAGTGCTGTTTTCTGGGCCTTACCCTGGAGAGGAGCGATGCTTCTGACTCGCCACAGGGGAGTTGCTTCTCAGAGCACAAAGGGCAGAAGGTGCTTCCTTTTCCTGGCTACACAGGTCCTTGTGTGGTGTGGAAAAAGGGAAGGGATGTGAGGGTCTGAATCAGAGGAAGTGGAGACCTCTGTCAGGACAGCAGTATGAGAGCCTCCTGTTAGTTTCTCCAGTGCGTCTGTGGTGGGAGACATGAACGTGCTGTACATATTTTAAGAGGCAACTGGAAAACAAAACTTTCTGTGTGGACTGGTTGGTTTGCATTCGTGATTTTTCATATTGGGTTTTGCTCTGCTTTTTTAATAAAGAGCTTTTGCATTTTGCTGTAACCCTGGATGGTGGCAAGCTGGGTGTTTGGCTGATGTGAAGGGAGGGACCTGCTGCTGTGTTACTCTCATGAGGATCCTGCTAGTCTGTCCTGGAGCTAAACGGCTGTTATAGGTGGATAAGCTAAGTATGTTTACAGATTTTGATTCTGAACCAAGGTAAAAGCAAAGAAGCTGGGAACCTGTGCCCCAGTCACAAGGAGAGGAGAGAGCCTGTGTTGATAGCTGGATAGTCTGTGGATGCTGGGCAGCTCTGTAGACCAGCAGGTAAGGAAAAAGCAAAGCCTGTTGTTTTGAGACAGTACCCCTTCACAAGTTATCTCTGGTCTAGGCAGAGTATGTGGAGAGGTGGAGGAATCCACAAGTCATCTTTATGCAGGATTTTTGCTGCTGCATCTTTGTTCCTCAGCAGCTCTGGGCAGATGATGGTGAAATCTGCTGCTGCAGTGCAACCAGGTTTTAAAGCTTCATCCTTGAGCAGGAGGCCCTACGGTGTGGGAACCATCCTCTGCAAGTTTCTGAGCAACGCCTGTCGTGCAGTTTCGAGGGGCCGTGCGCGAGGGATGGCATGCTCCGACAGCCGGGGAGACAGCGGGAGCTGGCCGTTGGCTGCCTGGAGGAAGGCGAGGCGGGGGAGCTGGACCCTGCGGAGGGGCGGGGCGGTGCCACACGCGCGCTCCGCCTGGCTCCTCCAGGCACTTCGCGGAGGGCTCCGGCC